GTATAACATAAGAAATATATTCTCAATACATTTTTCTCTCTAATTTTGGGTGAAAACTACTGAGTTACATCATACATGTTTTCCATGGTGTTTCAATATGTAAATGAATGAGGTAGAACTCAAAATCGAATGGATTCCTAGGATACCTTTGCATTAAAAAAGCAGTTCAGGGGCTGGGAAGTTGGCTCAGTGGTAGAGTGCTTGCCTTGCATGCCTAAGGCCCTGGGATCGATTCCACAGCACCACATAAGCAAAAAGAATAAAAGCCAGAAGTGGCGCTGTGGCTCAAGTGGTAGAGCGCTAGCCTTGAGCTGAAGAGCTGAGGGACAGCGCCCAGGTCCAGAGTTCAGGCCCCAGGACCGGACCCAAAAAAAAAAAAAAATAAATAAATAAAATAAAATAAAATAAAAAAGCAGTTCATACATCCCGAAGTATATTCAGTAATAAACTACTTTTAGTGGAAATATGATATGTTTTTGCTTTCAATTATTCAATAATTTCAGTTGGAACATTAATTTTTTTCAATTTAGTGTGTACATAAACATAGAAATTAGTTGGTTTAATAATATCTATCTATCATGAAATGGGCTGGATTTGTGTTTATTGGACTCTTTCATGCTCTGCTTGAGACATTAAAGATTCTTCTCTTATAAGAAGGCTTTACGATTTCACAATAAAAAATAAATAAACATTTAAAAAAAGAAGGCTTTATGGTTTTCCAGCCCAGGTATCATGTTTGCAAGAGGAAATTCTGGGCCCCAAATCTCACAAATTCATTACTGAATGGGTCATTTACCTTATATCGCAGCCATGCTTCCAGAATCTTCTGCTCATTGTCAGCAGGAAGACAGAATGAATGGATCTCGGGTGAGTTGATTTTTTTATTTTTCATTTGTTTTCCATTCCATTATATGAACCTAAAGGTGTCCAAGAATTAAAAACAATACCAACCACAAGGATTCAGCCTAAGGAATATATTAATAAATCAGGTAAAGATGGCTTGTAAATTAGCAGGTAAAGATTGCTTATAGGTTTAGCAGATTAAATGGTTATATTTTTTCTAAGTTGAATTCAGATTGGCTTCAGAATGTCTAGGTTTCATCTTGTCATAAAATGTAGTCACACCTGTTATGTGATGTAATGACACCAAGCAGGTTACTCCTCAGGGAAGGTGAAGGATAGATTGCCACCAGATCACATCCTCATGAGTAACATTAAACTATCTCAATGAAATTTTCCTGGAATTGCTGAAATAGTGTGGTCATACACACCTTCGTATGTTCTTAAGGAATAATTAACCTATATGTACTTAAATTACTCTCCATATATACTTCTTGGACTGCTTCATGGTCTTGGTCTTACTTGAAACTTTGCCTGTATTTGTTGCTAAGCTTTATGGTCTTTCTACAAATTCCTGTTTGTTCTCTAAAGTATTCTCACAAGATTTCTTTCCTCTATTTTCTCTCTCTATTTTTGATTTTCTACCCGCTAGTGTTGGTTATTTTTCTTTCTCTCTCTTTGTATCTATCTTTCTATCATTTTTTTTCTCTTTTCATTACCTCTTTCCTCCATATGTGTCTCAGTTGTTTCTTTTCTTCAAATGATCTATCTGGAACAAGGTTTTCTTAGTGATCAGTTTTACGTTGCTGATATGGCTCTTAGGATCGACATTTTTCTTACCGGTAGTATAGGAAAATTGTTGCCTAGAGAGTTCTACAGGATTCCACAAACAAAAATTAGAGAAACAAAAAAACATAAACAGATAGACTTAGAGGAAACCAGGGTTCTGAATGCTCTCTGGCACTTTGTCCCTGGGCAACAGCAAGCAAGCATAGTTCCTTGAGTGCACACAGGGAAGATTACCATTAATAACATGCAAAAATGAAGTATCTATATTAATAGTACAGTCAGAGCCACAACAGGTTGTGAGGAACACATGTTTCCTTATTCTCCTGAGACAGAAGACTCTTGCCCAGAGAAAATCCAGACATGGAGTTCACCTTACCTAGCCTTCAAGGTCAACAGCACCTCAGTTTCAGATGCTATCTTTCCAACAGTAAGGAAAAGGCCTGTACTCCAGTCTCTTAACCCTCTCCAGAATTCTCTTTAAGCCATCTGCAGCCAGCTCTTAGTTCTCTCAATGCTGTCAGGCTGGAATTCCAACCTCTCAAACCTTTTCCCCTTCTGCTCAACTTCAGAGTTCCCTACAGAAAAGTCCTTCCTTCTACCAATTGATACACTACAAGAAAATCTGTTTTCTCCTGATTTTGTGTTGGTCTAACTTCATTTGATGTGGTATTCAGTTTTGTTTTTCCTTCCCACTACTTTTGAATATTTTAATTCACTGCCAGTATAAGATTGGAACTAATGTTGAAAAAAAATAATACATTGACGAGATGTTCTCTATTAGAAATATCACTTGTCACAACATCTCACAGATGTTTGCTCACTAATTGATGTTGATCTCTGAGGTATTTCACTATTAACTAACACAAGTGAAAATATAAGCTTAGAGATCTACTGGAGAAAGGACTCAGGAATATGTAACGCATTTGAGCATTTGGTCATATTTATCATTTTTGTCATCTTCAGTGTTCCTTGAGCCTCTCTATATTTGCCTTCACCTTCCATGAAGGGCTATTAAAATGAAAACCTTGTAAGGAACATTTTTTTCCCTCCACCTTTATTTTGTATTGTAGAATGTAGGCAAAGTTTACAAAATTTCATGGTAGCAGTTCTTTTTTACATGGGAAGGAAATATCAGGGTATCTATGACCATATTTCAATATTTAGCATTTAAACCAAACATGGTAAACCACGGATATTTTTATGTGGGAACTCAATTAAATTTTATAAGGGCCTAATCAAGTATTAGTTACTTTCTGGAGTACTATTACTGTGTTGTTGTTTTTTCTTTAATATTCATGTGGACACTGCTTTTCATAGATCTAGCAATGTTCTATGTTCTGTATTCCATGTGATATCCTGAATGTGTGCTGCTTGCTTTTGAGAGAAGGTCTAAATAGGAATTATGGTGAAGCAGTATGTGCCAAACAGGAAAAATATTGGTTTAATTCATTTTTACCCTGGTATGTACTGAAATTTTATCAAAAATGATAATATTATTTTTCAGACACCTCCTTAGACTTAATGTTATCATGCCAGATTATTGTCTCCTTAGAGTTTTTATCTTGTCTCTATTGCTAGCAGCAGAAATATGTTTGCGTGCATTATTGAAACTGTAATTTTTTATTGGTCTTGGGGCTTGAATTCTGGGTCTGGTTGTTTTCCCTCAGCTCTTCAGGTTAAGGTGAGTGCTACCACTTGAGTGACAGTGCTACTTTCATTTTCTGGTGGTTTATTGGAGATAAGTGTCTCAAGGACTTTCCTGCCTGGGCTGGCCTTGAACCTTGATCCTCAGACCTCAGCCTCCTGAATACCTAGGATTACAGGCATAAGCCACCAGCGTCCTGCAAATCTGTGTATTTTCATGACCCGGTTTATGTATTGTCAAATATTTCTAGTTTGGTATTTAATTCTCCCAGTGAATAGATAACAAAGCTAGCTGCAAACATTTTATGTAAGACAAAAGCATACCTGGAGCATAATGAAATTCCAGGTTGGAATTCTCATAACCCAGGTCTAATTTCTTGATGGAAATGTGCCATTACAGAAGCTGATGTCATTTGATGATGTGGCTGTGAACTTCACCTGGAAGGAGTGGCAGGATCTGGATCCTGGTCAGAGGACCCTTCATAGAGATGTAATGCTGGAGACTTATAGCAACCTCATGTCCTTGGGTGAGCAAAGGTTATTTTTACTTGGAAGATCAAGTGCTTTTATTTTAGTAGACATTAGACTATTTGTGTTATTCAGGGAGAAGATTCCAGTCCATTCCTAGGTAAAAAACTGCTAGTATATAAGCCAGTCAAATTTGGGTCTGAGAGCTTGGTGTTGTTTGTCTTTCACACTAGTGCTTGAGCCACCATTCTATTTTCACTTTTGTTTTGGGGTATATTCTGAGTTTCTGTGCCCAGGTTGGTTTCAAGCCTGCCTCTTCTGATCTCACCTCCGAAGTGTAGGATTACAGGTGTAAGCATTTGGACCATTACAATTTCTAAAAAAAAAAAAAAAAAAAAAAGATTCCAGGCCATGGGAAGTGTTATTTTTTTCTAAGAGAAACTTCAACTTCATTATATGTAACACAAGAGCTAATTTTATTCTCATTCTTTAAGAAGGCAAATCAATAGTTGGACAAAAGTTCTAAACTATGATCCACTAATAGCAGACTGACTTCCCAGACTTGGGTAATTATTATAGGTGGATCTACAGTCTAGAATAGAACATACATTACTACTGACAGTATGCTCTGGAAATCAATTAGTAAAACTGTGTATTTGTAAGCTCAACCTGCTACAGGGTTTAGTGCTTCAAGCTACCAATCCCAGATACTCTGGAGGCTGACATCTGAAGGTTTCAGTTTGAAACCAGCAGCTGTAGAAAAATGACCATGAGACTCTTATCTCCAATTAACCATTCAAAACTAGAAATGTAGCCAAGACTCAAACTAGTAGAATGCTAGCTTTTAGCAAAAGAGCTGAGTTCAAGCCACACATTTAGCAAAATAAACCCAAAGCTGGATGCTACTCCACCATGGAGCTGTGAAGAATTGAGAAACCATGGGCTGGGAAGGTGGCTCAGTGGTAGAGCGCTTGTCTTGCATGCTTGAGGCACTGTGTTCGATTGCTCAGCACCACATCAGCATAAAAAAATCTGGAATTGGCATTGTGGCTCAAGTGATAGAGTGCTAGCCTTGCGCTTAAGAGCTGAGAGACAGCTCCCAGGTCCAGAGTTCAGGCCCCACAACAGAACCCACCCACCAAAAAATAAAACAATTGAGAAAGCAGATTTAGGAGCAACCTTGTGAGCAGGATATCTGCAACCTTATATTAATGATGACCCAGCAAGAACAATAGTTCTCCACTTTTTCTTAATCACAGGCCTCTGTGTTCCTAAACCTAAATTGATTGTCAAGCTGGAGCAAGGTACAGATCCATGGATAAGAGAAGACTCAGAAGAGAATTTCACAGGTGAGTTAAAGCATCTTGAAGGTGATGATTGGTCCAGAGCCTATTGGTCTGTTTATCTTGAGCTGTTTAGAGGGAAATCTGCCTTGTACACCTGAGTCATGTGTAGCAGAAAAGTAGGTGATGTTTTGTCTCAAGGAATTGTAAATCCAGAATTCACGTGGAGACAAACTGAATTTGGTGTGCCAGTGTAGTTAATGTTAGCAATTCTCTTTTTCTGTAGAGAAGTCATTCATAATGAGAAAAAGACAATAAAAAATGTAGAAAGGAGATCTCATTTTCTTTTAAACTAGTATTATGAAGTTAGGAGGAAAATAGGAGTATGCTAGGGCTGCTATCCTCTGATGTGACAATTTCTCATCAGTTATGCTGTGCATAGAGTGAGATTCAGAATGGAAGCATTAAAAGTACATAGATGAATAATTTGAGTAAATATTTCCTTGAGAAAAAAAGAAAAATCTTAAATACAGAAAAACATTATTTTCCATTGTAAAATGTCAGTACTACTTTCTTAATTACTACATTGCATAGAAAATATATATTCTGCATAAAGGAATGCTTTGATATTTGAAAATCTTGTAACAGAGTGTGAGAAAATACCTTTACATTAAGGAATTTATGGATCTCATTTATGTTTTTGTCTATTTTCCTGTTATTCATTTTAGATGTCCCAGAAAAGGAGGATGAAATTAGCCCCTGTCAGGAAAGTCACAATAAATATCTCTCTGAAGTAGCAGTCATGAATTGTAACCCAGGGGAGGAAAATGTGAGACTTATAAAAAGTTTTCATTTGAGCTCCATACAGAAGTCAGAACTGATTAAGAATAATGGGAACTCCTTAGGCATGAGGACAGAAAAGGTCACTGGGTGTCAGAACATGGGTGTTTTCAGTGAACCTGGTAAGATGTGTGCTGCATATAGTCCTCATGTGCCTTCTGTAGTTGAAGAATATAAACAATGTGAAAGGTCTTTCACTGAGAAGACACACCCTATCATCCCTCAGAGAAAACAGACAGGAGAGAAACCTTATGAATGTAACATGTGTGGAAAGATTTTCACCTGTAAGGCATACCTTACTGTGCACCTGAGAATTCACACAGGAAACAAACCATATGAATGTAATGTGTGTGGAAAGTCTTTCACCCAGAAGTCACACCTTACTGTCCACCAGAAAAGACACACAGGTGAGAAACCTTTTCAATGTAACATGTGTGAAATGTCTTTCACCTGGAAGTCAAACCTTACTACCCACCAGAGAACACTCACAGGAAAGAAACCTTATGAATGTAACATTTGTGGAAAGTCTTTCATCTGGAAGTCAAAATTCACTGTCCACCAGAGAACACACACAGGAAAGAAACCTTATGAATGTAACATTTGTGGAAAGTCTTTCAACTGGAAGTCAGAGCTCACTGTCCACCAGAGAACACACACAAGAAAGAAACCTTATGAATGTAACATTTGTGGAAAGTCTTTCACCCAGAAGTCACACCTCACTGTCCACCAGAGAACACACACAGGAGAGAAACCTTATGAATGCAACGTGTGTGGAAAGTCTTTTGTCAAGGAGGCATGCCTTACTGTCCACCAGAGAACACATACTAGAGAGAAACATTATGAATGTAACATGTGTGGAAAGTGTTTCACCCAGAAATCAAAGCTTACTCGCCACCAGAGGATACACACAAAAGAGAAACCTTTTGAATGTAACATTTGCAGAAAGTCTTTCACTTGCAAGGACTACCTTACTAGCCACCAGAGAACACACACAAGAGAGAAAATTTATGAATGTAACTTGTGTGGAATGTCCTTCATCTGGAAGTCAAATCTCACTGCCCATCAGATAACACATACAGGAAAGAAACCTTTTCAATGTAACTTGTGTGGAAAGGCATTCATCCGGAAGTCAAACCTCACTGTCCACCAGAGAACACACACAGGAGAGAAACCTTTTGAATGTAACATTTGTGGAAAGTCTTTCACCAGCAAGGCATATCTTACTAGCCACCAGAGAACACACACAGGAGAGAAACCTCATGAATGTAATGTGTGTGGTAAGTCTTTCACCCAGAAATCAAGCCTTACTAGACATCAGAGAACACACTGGAGAGAAACCTCACGAATGTAACAGGTGTGGAAAGTCTTTCACCAAGAAGTCATAAATTACTGGCCACAAGACCACACACACAAGAGAGAAACCTTATGAATGTAACATGTGTGTTGTCTATCACCTGGAAGTCAAACCTCACTGTCCGTCAGAAAAGACACATAGGAAAGAAACCTTATGAATGTCATATGTGTGGAAAGTCTTAGCCAGAAGCTACACCTTACTGTCCACCAGAGAGCACACACAGGAGAGAAATTTTATGAATGTAAGCTATATGGAAAATCTTTCACCCAGAACATACAACTTTCTGTCCATCAGAAAAAAACCCACCAGAGAGAAATGTTATGTATGTAGCAGGCATGGAAATTCTTTCACCTGTAAAGCACACCTTAACATCCATCACAGAACACAAGGAGAGAAACCTTATGAATGCAACCAGTGTGGAAAGACCTGGAGGTCACAGCTTAACACACATAAGTTGATTCACACAAATGAAATAACTTAGGATTGTACCAAATGGGCAAAGTTTTCGATCTGTAAGAAAATTGAAATTGCAATACAGAAATAATACAGGATAGAGACCTTATGATATAGCCGACTTGGAGTCCTCCAACTAGAAAACACAGCTCAGGGTTCATCACAGAACACACAAAACACACAGACAGAGACACACACTCTCACACAAAGAGGAGAGAAATCCTACATAGGAAAAGTAAATGGAAAGGTTTTCAAGAAAAAGTCCTAACTCAGTTTGCATCAGAGAACAAACACAGATGAGAAAATACAAATGTAACAAATGTGGAGTCTTTTACCAAGTGTTCATGGATCCAAGATCATAGAACACACACACTGAAGAAATCTTACAAATATTACAAATGTGGAAATCCTTTGATCAGAAAGGAATACCTCATGTTCATCAGAGAACTGACTCACATAGGAGAAAAGAAAGTAGTGCATAGAACCTATGTGAAATGACTTTCAATCAGAATTGAATCCTGAGCATATGTGAGAGCATAGACAGGAAAGAAATTATGAGTATAGAAAACATTTTGCCAGAAGCCACATCTGTACAGGTTCCAGAGACCGGGACACATGGCAGAATTTCTGTAAATATAAACATGAGAGGAAGTGTTTCAACCAGAAGCCGTCCTTTAGCAATTAGTAAAACATTCACCCAGGAAAATAGCCCAATGTAGGAAAACATTTGTCAGAAAACCTCTATAAATTATATAGAGAAATGCTTCCTGGCAGAGGTAAGCTAGGTATGATGGGAAACCATTCTTCACTCTTCAGCTTTATTTGAGCCAACATTTCTCATCCTCTCATCGTGTTGAGTGGATATGGTGTCCTTCAATATTATCCAAAGCATGTGGAAACAACCAATCACAACAAGTAATTCAGAGATTCAAGTTATTAACTTGTGTCTTTTATACTAAGGAATGGTGTGTCAGGGTAATTTGATAAACTCTTCTTAGAAACATGAGCTCTGGCCCTTTGGGACTGGATTCAGGTCACCTCCAAAATGGTTAGGGGAACAATAGATAGGTAAAGAATGTGATGATTGGAGGCAAGAACATGAGAACAACCATTTTTCTACTGCTCCCTTAAGTCTCCCTCCGTATGTGTGCTCCATGCCTTATAGTACAAAGGCCTAACTTATTCCAGTTCAGTTTCTGAATGGAAGATCTAATGGAAGATATTAGTCCTTATTGCAGTACATACATAGTAGTAAAGTCTTTCTCGGAGGGGTAACAATGCTCAATAGGAAATGTATTCATGACCTAACTCATATAATGGTATAACGAATCTATATAGTATATCTACAATATATATTTTAAAAAATATGGTGGAGGGCTTGGAAGGTGGCTTAGTGGTAGAGTGCTTGCCTTGCATGCATGAGGCCCTGGGTTCAATTCCTCAGCACCACATAAGCAAAAAGAAAAAAGCTGGAAGTGGTGCTGTGGCTCAAGCGGTAGAGCACTAGGCTTGAGCTGAAGAGCTGAGGGAGAGTGCACAGGCCCAGAGTTTAGGCCCCAGGACTGGACGAAAAAAAAAAAAAAGAACAAATGAAAAAATATGGTTGATAAATAAAGACAAGTGTCTCTGCATTTTGCCTTGGGGCAGAACCGCAAACTGTCTTCAGTGCTTGATCTTTTCTTTATTTAATCACTGGTGATGAGCAACTTGTGATTGATTCACTCTTAGCCCATTAAGTTGTTCTGCTGAGTAAGCTATAATGAAACACCAGTGTGGACGATGTGTCATGCCTGTGTTATCTCATAGAGGGCCAATGTAGATATGACATTAGGGAAAATAATCAGGCACAAAAAGATATTGATGAATCTCACAAAAATCGACGTTAACAAAAAAATAAAACCATATGCCACTGAGCTACAGCCTCACTTCTAGACCCTGAAACAAGAGAAGGAAGGAGGGAAGTGAGAGAGGGAAAGAGGAAGGGAAGGAGTGAGGAAGAAGGAAGAAATAAACTATTCAAAAGAAGAATGTTTAATTTTTGGTGAATGTGAGAATTATTCTTCCAGAGGTGGGCCTCAAGAAAAATGGCTTTTACAAAAAGCAAATTCTTTAACTGTTTACAAAACGATAAAGAGGATGTAACATTTTGTAAATTAATTTAATACAGAAATATTAAGTAAGGAGGTCAGGTGTGGCTGGTGCGCTATTGGCCACAGGATGGTTGGTGCGGTCTGCCGTCTGGTATTTATGCTCGGGGAAGGAAATGACAACATACATCACTTGCCACCCAACAGATGGTTGTGTCTGGTTTCCTGGAAGCAGGGGTGAGCATTTGGCTGATATGTTACTCAAGCTGTTAGTCTAATGCCTGGGACTGGAGTTTCCTGTAGACCTGCCTCCTGCTTAGGTCCTATTTAGGCTTGACCAGCAGTGGCACCAGATACAATGCCACATGTCTCTGTGATCATGTCCTGTGTCCTTTCCCCTGGCTTGTCTCTGGTCATCCTAGTGTCCCAATTCAATACTGTCTTGGTGCTGATTGGTTTCTTGGTGTTGTTTTTATTCTTTTTTTTCCCTTTCTGTCCTGTTTCCAAGCTGTCTAAGTGTATTTGTGGACTGCAAGTCTTTGTTACTACAGGCTGCTTGCACACTGCTAGCTGTGTAATAAACACTGCAGTATTCCATTTTCCAAAAGGTGGCTTCCAACAAATATACTGTCTTCTTTTACAGAAACACAAAGGTTGACCTAACATTAGAATTTCTAGAGCCAAGATAGATGCCACAGTATAGTTATGTAATTAAAGATATCCTGGAGGCATTTAGAAAATATGTCTGTTACATCAGAAAGTGCTTAATTAGTAAACCAAGACCAAGACTGCAGATCCTATATAAGCCAGTCATTCTAGGTATGTCCAGAGCTGTTTGGTTACATGAAGAGCTCTACTTTCACACTTTCTTTTTTTTAATTTTAATTTATAATTTTATATTGTGAAAATACTCTACAGAGGAGTTACAATTACATGGGTGATATAATGAGTACATTTCGTATCAAGCATTGTAGCCTCTTCCTTTGTTTCCCCTTCCCATCCCTTCCCTTCATCCCCCCCATCCCCCCACTCAATCATCCCTGCTTACTCCCCCATCCCCCCCACCAAAGTTGTAAATTTCATTTTTTGACATAACGACTTGTACATCTCATTGTTGCAATGGTTCCACCTGTATCCCTATTTACTTTCACACTTTCATGAAGGAATGTTTTTGTGCCAATATTAGGTGTTGAACTCAGGAACTGAGTTGAAGCCAACCAGAGCTGACTTCAGAGGAGATTCTCGCATCTTGACTCCATAAAAGCTAGGAATCAAAGCATGAGCTCTGTGGGCTGTCCTGAAGAAATCTCTCTCTGGTAACAGGAGGTTTCCTTCAGTGCTTTACCTCATGCTTCCTGTGCCTTCAACAATTTCAGTATTTAATTGTTCAAAGACAATCCTTAAATACTGCCTATGATTCCATGTACAAGAAAAGGACAGTGGACTTCACATTGCAAGATTTAGCTAGTTGCTAGCTTAACCCCTTCCCTCACACTGTTCACCCTTCTGCTTTTTTTAGGGGGGGGGGGGGTGATACGGTCCTGTGGGCCTGAACTCTGGGCCTGGGTGCTGTCCCTCAGCTCTTCAGCTCAATGTTAGCACTCTACCATTTGAGCCACAGCACCCCTTCCGGCTTTTTTTTTTCTTTTTGCTTATGTGGTGCTGGGGATTCGACAGGGCCTCATGCATGCAAGGCAGGCACTGTACCACTGAGCCACCTTCCCAGCCCCAACATTTCTGCTTATCTACAGAGGACTAGTCAAAAAAAATTGGGGGATTGGGAGTCACCTGTGCCCTTGGCCTTCCTACTTGTACCCCCGCACCCCCCCACCATCCATTTGGAAATAGCTCATTCTCCCATGTTTACAAACTGGATGCTTTCTGAGAAGGTATGGTTCACAGACTGGAGTCCTACCTTGGCCTGTTATATAGCTCAATTTATGAACCAACCTACCACATTCATTCAAAGTATGCCTGATGATAACATTTTATTAATGTTTTCTATTATTTTGTTATTATCATGTGGCCAACACTTTGCTTGAACTCACAATTTAAGGGACTTAATGCTCATTGAATTGGTAATGTACCCTTTCCTTCTTTTAATTTAAGACCAGCAATTAAAAATGAGCAATTACACTCCCTCATGTGTGGAATCTTAGCAACTCAGGAAGCCGACATTAGATAGTATTAGTAGGGTATCCCATGCAAAAGCTTCATGAAAATGGTATCTTAGCCAATAAAAGTGTGGCTCTGGTTATATGTGCCTATCTTGTTTGCTATTTGTGATATGTAATTATAAAATTAGTGTGTCGAAAGGCCAAGGCAGATAAGCAAGACCCTAAGGTGAAAAATCAGTGATATAAAAGGGCATCTGGTATAGAAGGTAAAGGAAGCCTCACAAATTTTGGCCCCTGAATTCAACCTGAGGACCAATAATAGTATCTGTGCAAACAATAC